GACCTCTTCCTCGAAGTTGACTCTGCCTAATTGAACGGTTTGTCCGAGGCAGACATACTCGTCAACAACTCTATCACTCCTATTTTATATCTAAAGTTTTCTAGTTAAGTATGACTACTTATGCTAGTATACACCTTGAAAAGCTTTGTTCACACCGCCCCTTGATCTCGGCCAAGGTTCGACAGTGTTTTACTTCGGCTGGACTCCCTTCCCTTTATGATGTCATCGTCCATGCGATAGTCAGCATTTGTGAATAAATGTACCTTGTGTTTAGTTTAGTTCGTTCGCTGTTTACGTATTAAATCGCAAAAAGATAGTTAACATCGTCGTACGAATAAGCTGGCTTCCTTTTCATTTTTAGTTACTGTCAAACCTTCTGTTATCCTCAAAGTAGTTATGTGGACATCATACTTTTGTTATTGTATTTTGATCACTTAGACTTTTGATAATATGGTCGTAGGACCAACCAAGGCTTAAAAGGACTAAAAAGTCCCGGGAAAAAAATCGAGACTCGGTGCGGTGTCGAAACTCCCGGGAAAATCGAGACTTCATACTTATAGACTAAGTATTTAGGCAGTCGAAACATGATCTCAAATTATAATTTTTTTTATGAAAGCACTTTCGTTTTTATGTTGGACACGTAAGAAACAAAAGGCGTGGATGTAGTTGCAGACAGAGAAGAACTGGTTTTATTGCTAACGTTCTTCTATCACCACCATTATACTAAGGTCCACTCTACATCTCCAAGGGATCAGATTAAAAAATACTGTTGGTTTAGTAGATTTTTAATAGGTACTGTTTAATTTAAATGACTTAAGTCTCAAAATTTTCGATACTCCCGAGACTGAAAACATCAATCTCGAGTCTCGAAGATGACAAAAAAATTCCAAAATTTTCAATATCGAGATACCCGGTTGTTAGTAGAAGTAGAGCTCCTTGTGAAAGAGTTCGTCCAGGTTAGTACTGCCAGCTTACCTATTTCTGCTGCCAAGCAGTAATGTCACCATTACTGTGTTCCGGTTTTGAAGGGTGCTGGTGAAATTACAGACACATGAGACTTGTCAACTTATGTCTCAGGGTGATGGGCGCAGTGGCAGTGCCCCTCGGATTTTTGCGATTTAAAACTCTGAGTGGAATTGCAACTGTTATGGGCAGGCTTGTAGCTTATCATCAGGCGAACGTTTTGTTCATCCCGTCACTTTATATTGTATTAAAAAACTCCCGGGATGAAAATCCTAGTACCAACGCTTATAGTCTTGTACTTACATTTATTATAAGTAGATATAGCCGTCGTGCCCAATTGCTGATTATTACAATAAATTACTCTCCCTGTCAACACAGAACACCAATGGTCATTTTAACTCACGAATTGCCACGTCAAGATCCTAATTGCCACATCATTTAGTATTTTGGCTTGATGATAAATGTTTGTTATATTGGCCACTTGCACATTTACTTGTTACATTAAAATGTCATTGGACATTTTACTGATGTCTAAACATGTCAACAGGACAAACTGATGTCAACAGGATGTAAATTGTATTTTTTTTATTTACAACTAAACTATACACATAGGTATCGAAAATTTGGGGAAGCGTGCTCATATGGGCCCATATCCTAAAAGGAGACTTTCGGTGCAAGCAGAGTTGCTGTTTTTAAACTTCACATTTTGTGTGATATTGCTTAACAGGTGTAGTGGTAGTCATACTAAGAATGAATAATACACTAGCAAGTGCCTTCGGCATAAATAGACGCCACACCTAAAATGTAGGTAACCCTGTATACTTTTAAAAAACTCTGTACAGGAATCGAGTAACAACTTTAGGATTAAAACCAATACCAACACAATATTTTAAATTATAGGTTAAATAATAAAAAGGAACTTTGTACGGACAGCCTTTAAGCTTTAACGTATTACTTAAGGTAGATAATAGCTCCACACATCAGCCTGGTGCAGGTAGCGAACATAGCCACCTGTAGGTGACGACCGAAAGTTAGCAATGCTGAGTCTTTAACCTATTCGTCCACATTACTTAATTGTATTTTTTTTATGATATCATGTCCATAGCAGTTGCAGTACCACTCAGACCTTTCATCCCATTGACTTACAAATAAATGGACGACGGGTCTAATACAAAAACCACGAAAAAAATGTCCCAAGTCAACCTATTCGAAATTTAAATTGTTATGTCATCGCAGTATCGCGCTGTCCGTAGAACAAATGAAGACTAAAGCGGAGTGTCGCGCTCTGTATACGATTTTAGCGCCTTACAAGTGCGGACACTTTTTAGCGCGGACCCGACGTCCATATAATTGTAAGTCAATGTTTCATCCGCAAAGATTCGAGAGGCATTGACACTCCGTCTGTCACGTCACCCTGAGACATAATATTGACAAATCCCATGTGTTTGTACCTTTCAAAACCGGAACGCAGTAATGCTCACACTACTGCTTCGCAGCAGAAATAGGTAAGGTGGCAGTACTTTCCTGGAGACCAACACTTTTACAAGGAGCCCTACTGCTACTAAAAAAAATTTAGTATTTTTGATTTTAGTCTACAGTATTGTGATTTTTGTGTTTTATAGATAAATAGATTTATTTTTATTTTATATTAATAAATAATAAAAAAACATTTAATCGGTTACTAATACAGAGAAATTGATTGTGTGCGTGTAGGATGTGTCTGTGACTATATCTAGCCAGTAATTATTTTTTGAAAGAGTTGTAGAATTTCTGTGATTGGTGTACTCCACGTCAGATATTGATATCTCGAATGAATCCGATAAATACACTACGATCACGTGCGACCCATTTTGATTCAAGTACTTATATTAAGTAGGTATGTAAGCACAGTATTACATTGTAAAACTGTACTATAAGCGTCTACTGATATATGCGACAAAGTAATGCAAGTATTCAGAACACAGGCATGTAACAATTTCCCGTTTTGCTTAACATGTATAAAATCAGCAGATAATATACACTATAACCAGAGATTATAAGATTTGAGAGGATACATGACTAACGTGACCATTTTTTTCCCCTCAGAGTGGAACGCCAGTAAATTTATTATTGTTTTAAAAATCAAACACATATTGATAGTTACGAAATGTTTGATGTTGTACGTTTCACGTAATGTTAAAAAAACATAAAAAGAACTAAAAATTTTTAATGGTCAAAATTTTGTAAAAAAGCACTAATCTTGTGTATAGTCTCATAGGCTGGCTTTATATATTTTTCATTTTAAAATTTATTGTCACGTAGTACGTCCTGTTTTGTCAAAGCGGGACTTTTTGAGTATTTTGGATACATCGCGACAGGAAGCTTAAAAGCGGGACTGTTCCGCTCAAAGGGAGGTATGGTCACGTTATACATGACCAAATCCATTCATATAAGTATAGGTATAAAGGGTTCGGAGTATTAATGAACATAAAAGCTGATGTGATTGACAGAAAATTACGTCACTACATGAAAACTACATTATATTTATTGCCAGTAAAGCCTACGCAGTCAAGCCATCAGTCTTACAAAATAGTATTAATACCTTAAAAAGTTTTATATTTTAATTGAGCTGTAGAGTCGCAATTGTTTTATTGATTGAATGATTTAAAGATTTTATTTGCTTTATTTTATTCCTTAGCTCTTAAGCAATAAAAAACTAAAGCGCTGATGTGTCAATGTGGGGTCAACTAAGTAATTTTATCATAAAGGATAATAAGTACAGTTAAAAGGGCACAGGGTATTTTAATTCCGCCCTAAGTTTTGAGACTTATTTAAAAGTATTAATATAAAAATTCATGCAATAGTAGTTTTAATATTACATTTATTGAATATGGCAATGTTTTACTACCATGGTATTACTTTTGTGAAATTACTCTACTAGTTTGTTATTAATTATTAACACAAAGATGATACACAAAAAAATAGTAGTTCCTCTTTAGTCTTCAAAATTATATTTATAACGCAATTAAATTTGTATATTCTTTTTTAAGTCATAATAGATCATAATTATCATAAAGTCAGAGTAATATTGAATTACAGCCTGAGGGGTCAGCAAAACGAGATAACAGACCCGGTTATCTGCCGATACTTCGATCTTTCAATTGGCTTGTATTTACGAGTATTTACTCCTTACCAGCTATTAGGTACATGAATCTTAAACTATATTTTCATATTTTTTGACATACAACCTACAACTCTAGTAACTTCGAATCGATTTAGGTTTGTTTCTAGATATTTATGCTGAAAAAGACAATGAGTTCTGCAACTAGTAGCAATGTGAATGAGTTCGTCCAGAGAAGTACTCCCACCTTACCTATTTCTGCGGCCAAGCGGTTAAAATCAACATTACCTACTGTGTTCCGATTTTGAAGGGTGCTGGTGAAATTACAGGCACCATTCAACTTATGTCTGAGAGTGAGACGGGCGCAGTGGCAGTGCCCCTAAGATCTTTGCGATTTAAGCTCTGAGTGGCACTGCAACTGCCAGGAACAGGTGTGTCGGTGTATACCCGATTAGATGCATGACAAAAATCAGAAACTATCTCAACAATGAATGGGTAGTAATAAAAGCTCCGAAAAGTAAATTAAAAATGTGCTAATTCAAAATATGAATATTATTGCGTATTTATGAAAGTTCCGAAAAATCTTGCTGATGTAATACCAACTTAAGTTATATTTTACCGAAAACTATTATTAGCCACTTTTATCGTAATCACATCACCTATTATTTCAAAAGCGACGATGACACTGACTCTGCACCAATGTGAGTTGAACCTTACAGTTCTGAGAACGGCGCGGCGGCGCCACAACATAGAAACAAATGACACTCTCATAAAGTAAAAAGTAACCTACTTACAGAGAGCTCCTTTTTCAAATTTCGTATTTGTTTTTTTTTTAGTTTCTTTTACAAGTGGCCAGCTCCAAGAACTTTCAGTATACCCCACGTATATAATGAAATACATATATGAGTATGCAAGTAACACTCTTGGTGTTCTCCAGAGACTTTGGTGGGTTGCCGTGGCGCTGTTGCTGTGGACTCAACATGCACAATGTCGGAATGTTACGTGAGTATTTTTACGTTCTACTATTGCATAAACTTACAACTAATATACAGTATGTAGATTGTTATTCTAGACAAGCGAGCAAACCACTTACATTGTACTTTAAAAATTGACAAAATGTGTTTTCGTCTCGCTGTAATAGATTTAAAGGTAAATCGCGACGTTTTAGTGTAAAGTTTAAAGATAATTGTGGAGAAGTACTTACTTTTGTTTCATTTTATTATTCTGTCAATACTTACGTCACGGTCGTTACCTATCTATAGGTAAACTTAGACATAATTAACTACCTGCTACTACAAGCCCATGTGCTGTTGAAGAAACTTAAGGCAACTATTAATGTATACCATAGCCTCATCCATACGTACCTAACACGGACTTTAGAGCCTAAATGACTTTTTAACCGACTTGAAACGGAGAAGGTCTCAATTAATGAATTTAGTAGCGGTGAAGCTCCTTGTGTCTTTACCCATTTCTGCCGTCAAGCAGTAATGTCAGCATTACTGTGTTCCGGTTTTGACGGATAAGAGTGCTGGTGAAATTTACAGGCAAATGGGACTTGTCCAGTTATGTTTCAGGGTGACAAGCGCAATGGCAGTGCTTCGAAGATCTTTGCGATTTAAAGATCTGAGTGGCACGGCAACTTTTATGGACAGATATTATAAAAAAATCAACTGTATATTTTTTATTTTAATTACTTCGACATTTATGAATCGATTTCGATTACTTTTCTTTATAGGAAAGTACCCCCTTATCCTCAGTAGTGATCTCGTTAAAATTTGAAGAAAGTATTCCACATCTAAGGGTGCCAAATTAGGGTATGAATCTTTTTTATTGGATTTCACCCCAGATTTTAATAAAACTTGGCAAATACATGTAATTTCACAAACTTATGGTTTTTGAAAAGTTTTTATAAACAATAGTCGGAAAAACGAAACAGCTTTATTTTCTGCTTTGGTAAAAGGACAGTTATTTACGGTATTTTTTACATGGCACAATTAAAATTACTTTAAAATCCAACTTCGACTTCCTAAGTCAGTAGATTTGTCCTACGACGCAGTAAAACCATTTCCGGAAATCCGGAATTCGAAAAAAGCAATTAATTAATATTTGGTGGTATTAACAACTCTATGTCGCTCCTTGTAGGTATATCTATACACATATCGTCACATATGTGGATTATAACATACCTTGCTAAAAAAAGTCATAAAATTTTTGAAGTAACTTATAATCTCATTTATGAACATATACTATTGAAAACAAACCGATATTTTTTGGTCGCGTGATGATTGTTAGTTTTCTTATTAACTTAAGATTAGTAACCTAATCATAAATATATAAGATGTATTCTTGCAGAATAATAAAGTATCACAAAGTGTTTCTCTTTGTGACATAGGGCTAGGTTTACAAATAGAGACAGTGTCAGGTACATTTACGAAATCCGTAAAGGACAAAATACCGTCGATTAAGTTCGTGTCGGTGATCAATTCCTATAATTTTACGCACCATAAATCCAGGATAAGGTGTTGTGAACCACGGTAGTAAACACCACGTAAACTGTTTACGACCTCGGCACGCATAAACATGGACGTTTTCTTCAAATATGCATAATTTGCGGCTTAGTTAACAATGCGAGGGCATTAAAGAAACTGTCCAGAAAATATACGGAAAAAAAACATTTCTTACACTCGCAGTTGGAAAGCTGTACCTATTATGGTTGTTATGTAATTGTAGGATTGCTTTTTGATTTTTGATGAAATGCCGTTAGCCCTTAGACATTTACAATCAGGATATGTGCACTCATATCCTGACTGTTGATCTCACATTTTCTCACAGAATGCCAACTTACGATAATAACAAGCTATATGTACTTATGTATAATAGTTACTAGCTTCTTGAAAAGCTAAAATGTTGCGAATCCGTTGGACTGATTTTCGCACCAACAACTCAATTCTGCGGGAACTTAACGTCCAGACCAGGCTGTCCACTTTATGTCTACGTAGGATACTTGATTTCTTTGGTCACATTGCCAGGAAAGAAGGGCATATAAACTCGAACAACTAATGGTCACCTGACGGATCGATGGTTAACGTGCGAGGGGTCGCTGTCCCACAAGATGATCCGACATGTTTGTACTTCTCTCGGCATGGGTCTCCATGATGCGCTACACTATGCCAAAGATCGCCACTGATGGCACAGCGTTGTCATGCGGAGCTTGCTTGCGCGAGTCACGACCCTCAGTAATGAGGTATGCAACGCTAGGAGGAGGAGGATGTATAAAAGTAACTAGCTTCTTAAATGTTTGTCTTTTTTTGCATCAATTATTCTGCTATATGCTAAAAATCGTTTCTCACGTAAATCTTGTAAAGCATCTAGTTTACGACGATTATTTTGTTGTAAAATTATAACATGTGAGAAATAAAGTAAAAACGTAAATATCTGTCGGCACTACCCTCTACGATGTTGTTAAAATCAACATTCATTTAATTTTGTCCAACTGTCCCACCCTTGTCTTAAACTAATACGACATATTTTTAATACACCCTGTTTTTATAACTATGATAACTTGTTCGACATTCTACTTTCTCGAGGCAGTTAACTCTATGAATGTTCCTTTTGAGAAATAATATCAAGTTTGTAACAATTTGTTTATGTAGACAATTCTTTAATAGGCCGAGTTCCAAGTTACAGTTTTCGCTAAGTTTAGTATAAGAAATAGAGACTACTGGTTTCAATTTCGTAAACATTATATCTATTCTGGCCTCAGAAGAAAAAAGGCACCAGCAGGAAAGTCAAAATTCTGAGATAAATAATTCATTACATATTAAATCGATACCTCCAATTAACACTACGCCTACTTAATTTTCAGTCATTTTCTGTTTTTCATATAAACAGCGTTATTATTTACTAATATTGTGCTCCCCGAATTTTGAGAAAAAAATTGAAACAAAGAACAAAATTCGAAAAAGGAAACAAAAAACTAATTTTATAAAAAATAAAATAAAGAAACAATAGACAAATTAAAAACAGAAAATGACCAAAAATTAAGTTATTGTAGTGATCATTGGAGGTATCGAAATATCCTTTTAAAAAATCTTCATTTGCTCTTTTTAACTGGTAGTAAAAGTGTAGAACATATTACGACTGCATATAAAGAGCATAACTAACTTAAATGTGACTTAATACCTTTTTAGTTTTAGTTATTATAGAACAAAAGGACACGATTATAGTCAGTTGTGCATTTTTGTATTATTGCAATTGAACTGAGTACATAGCAAAGACACAGTTCAGTAGATTACTAAGCATAATCTTTTGGTATTAGTGTTTTTGACTTAATTAACGTCATACATATAACTTAAATGGTATAAAATCTGATTTTTGATGTCTTTGAGCTTACTGTATATTAATTAGTTTTACGACAAAAAAATAGGCAGATAGGCCTTTTGATTCCGAGTATGTTTTCATAACTCAATTTTGATGTTATTGTTATTTTTACTAATATAAACAGCTTTATTTATTTACTAAAAATATGCTCGACGAATTTTGTAAAAAAAATAATATAAAACAAAGAACAAAATTGAAAAAAAAAACAAAAAGAAATTATATTGTGAAAAAAATAAAGACAATTATATTTTGTCTTAAAATAAAAAATGACCAAAAATTTAGTTGTAATGTAAGTTGGCGTTTACTCACATACTCTTTCGGGCATCCTTAGGCCAAAGTCCATAATGATTTTCTTATGATAGGTTCAAATCTCATACATCAATTATCCTTTCTTATTGAAGTGCATGCGTGCACGATCATAAATCTATATTGAATCGAACACAAGCCCTCATTAACTCCCTGAATAGATCAAATTGTTTTACGCTGGAGCATTGGTGTTTTTATTATCGTTTTACGACCACAAGGTGTGTTGATTCCGAAATATAAACATTTTCATTTATGGCTTGTTTAAAATGGATTGAATAAAAATAATACCTAAATAAATCGTTTGATCTCGGTTGGTGGGTTGGTGGTCAGTACATATTCGATTTTGTTCAAACTGTAAACAAACTGTTCTAAGCTGAATTCATTTTCAATATATTATTTAGATATGACACCGACGATATAGAGTAAAACGAACTTCCAACATTATAACAATATCTTTTATAAAGTATCTAATTAATCTATATGTACAGGCTTATTTGAAAAATACTAACAACCTCACAGGACTATACTAGCATCATAAACAACATTTCGTCTCCCTTACTTTCTCAAACTCATATTTTAAAGCACAATGTAACTGAAATGCAAAAAATGCATTATAAATAAATAAATAACGCACATACTCAACATAGCCCCGCACTAGGGAAACCCTGTGTCGCGGGTGCCATGGACACACATAGCTAACCACAAATTACACCCAAACTCACGAGAGAAATAATTGTAGACCATACAACTATTTCTCACGGTCCAGGAATCGAACCTGGGACCTCTGCGTGGCAGTCCGGCATGGTAACCGTTCGGCCACAGAGGCAGTTATGTTATATGAATTTTGCAGGCTGATTTTACATCATATTCCCTTCATATTTATACACTGAATTTTCTTGATAAGAAATTTAAAATAAATAGAAAGTTTTGCCATCTCCTGAACAATAAATTTTTATAAGATACGTGTTTGAGACAGTAAGGCATGGATTTGTTGTTTATGATGCTAGTGTAAAGTAAAAAGTTGTAAACTTTTTACTAAACATAATAAATTTACCAAAATGCTATCTGACACTTTTTAGATCTGTATTTCCTTTATTTTTTTCCATCCTCTAAGGTATTTTATAGTAAGTTGTTTAGCGACTCCTGCCGCATGCTTTCTTTTCCTACCGCACAGATAGAGCAATCTATTTCAATATTTTTATTTTTGTACGAAAGTAAAGTTTGATGAATTATTAAAAGTCATTAAACAAAACTTTTTATGTTAGTAATGCCACAGGTTACTTAATAGTTACTACTTAAGGAATGCAATCCTGTGAGGTTGTATTTTACAAATATATAATCCTAAATCGTGTATAATGAAGAAGTAACCAACATAAGTTACAAACAGAATAAGTAGAAGTTATAGCTATAGTCTTAAATATACTTTGAACAAACATAAACTGTTCTTTCTACTCGGGTATTTTGTCAAACCGGCTTCCGTCATTTCAGGCCACCGTTTGAATGGTCTAAACATTACACGGTGTAATTTATTGCCAACGACTCCCCAGCGAGGTCGCTTTCCGGGTATACTCCGCTAACTAGGACTTCGACCTATTTATAATTGCGGCACTTCATATGCCTACTGCATTCCGGTATTTTTGGCTTTTCACTTGAATTCGCACTTACTGTGCATTCAGTAACAACAAATAATGTTGTTCAGTGTTCATTTTATGCCCTTCGAGAAATTTATTATTATTTATTATATTTAAATAAATTATTATTATTTACTTTAGGGTATTGTACATAGCTATCATCTGGAAAATTACCTTTAAGTACTTCGCTCAAAGACTCAGAGGATCTTGACCTCCAATAAACAAAAGATTTTAAACTCTGTTTGACTGGTTAAGATTTACCCAGGTTAAATAAATTTTCAGCCACGAAGATATTCGCGACGCAATGCTCTCTTTGGTCCACATGTTCCGGTCATCTGAAGACAAGCTAGAAAGACACGAGTACAGAGAAAAAGCGCTTGGCGATCAACTCAAGAAAATGCTTTCAGGCTTGGAGAAAAGACATCGAGCGCTTGAACCGCTCAAAGGAATGATCTCTAGACTTGATGAGCGATTGTCCAATGTTGAGACCATACTTTTACAGGTAAGAAAACTATATACCTGTAAGTACAAAAACTATTATAGGTGCCGATATACCTGCACGCATTACAAGAACATTTATTTTTTATTTATTAAGAAAACTTTAAATTCTGATGCTGACTTGATGCGATTCAATTTCAGAAAGAAGAACGAGAGAAAGTTACACAAAAAAAGACAAACGAAGCACTGGAAGGCATTCAGAAATCAATTCAGGATTTGACTGCCACAATGAGTTTGAAACCCAGCGGTAAAACGGAGAATAGCCTGATCGCTAATGCGAGTTCTGTTGACACGAAATTAGATGCTACTGATGCTAAGATAGAAGCTGTCAAGAAGGAAATTGAGAATCTGAAGAATAGTTTGAATAAGGTAAAAAAATCTTAGAGCCGACAAAATGGTTTCAAAGATTTGATTGAAACATAAGGATTTTGTGTAAGTCTATTGTTTCGTACTAGAACAACCCATTGTTTACTAAAGATCAATTGTGACTTTGTAGGACTCCCTCCGCGCGGTGTGTTTGGAGATGGTCACCGAAGTGAATCCGCTAGAAAAACACATTTCCGAGGCAGAAAAACTTCTCAATAGATATGAGCTGAAACTTAATGAGTACAATGGTACCGCATCCAAAATTCCCACTGATTTCGTACCTCTCAGCGAAGTAACATTAGCTGATGAAGCCTGGCACAGCAAAATGACTGAAGGTAAGATATAAACTGGGAAAATTCATGATCCGTCTTATATAATGTGTATAAAATGATACAGTAGAGCAAAAGTCTGCCTTTTTCATAACAAAGATATGTATTTGTTGAGATTTTTTGTGCTATAACTCCACTAGTTTTGTTATGATTATGAATACAAAGATAAAACACATAGAACATTTTTTTTCATCAACCGGTGGGAATATAACTCACGTGCATGCTGCACCGTAGCATTGCTCTGAGAAAGATGTGCTTTGAAAAATTTGATTTTGTAAAGTTTTCTTTATGTGTCCCTAACAGTGATGGAGCGCCAGGAAGCGGAAATAAAGAACATCCAGAAACTACTAGCCAACGCTGAGAGCATGTGGAAGGAACTACCGAGATTAGCTGACGTCGCAAGTCACATCAACAACACTCTGGCTTCTATTGAGAAAACTAGAAATGACATTTTGGAGAATGATGAAAAATGTACGTAAATATTAATATTTATACACATAATAAATATTGTACTTAAACATAATAATAATGATTATAATTAATGTGATTCTTTGAGTCGGATTTAAAATAATTTTTAATTACAGCTGTAAACAAAGTGACGACTAAACTGCGTGAAATGGGTGACCGCCTAGTAGCGACTAATGAAGATATTCAGCGTAGCCTCACACAGGGCAATACATTGACGGAACGAGCTTATGCGGACATATCTAGGAGTTACGAAAATTTACGAAATGAGGTACGAAAGTGCATTCCTTCGATGACGTTACAAGTTATTTGTCGTTATTAACTCATGTTCGATGGTCTGTAACTATATCACTCACAACATGATCCACGAAAATAACGATAAAGAGACTAATAAATAGTATTTTTTGCAGGTGCAAACCCTAACCAAAAACGAGCATGTAATGCTGCAAACTGCAGACAATGTAATCGCAAACAAGAAACGTATCGAATACGGAGTCCACCAGATACTAATGGAAGTTGGTGAAATTATCAAAAAGCAGGGAAAGACTCTGAATACAACTATTAATGACAGGTAAGTAAACACATCTAAGTAACTAGTTAAATACGTACCAATTTTGTATCGCATTATTGACGGGCTGTAGCATCATCCTCTGCATTTCATTGGAGCTTATGTGTGATCGGCAAACCGTCTGCCGATCGGGGCAATTATGGTAAATCTTGATTTTCTTGCTATGTCCACCTGTGGATTATTAATATTACACAGATAGTAACACAATTAATTGGTGATTGTACTAATGGTACAGGCAAGAACACTTCAAGCTCGACATTTAAGATTAAATGAAACAATTTTCTTCCGGATCTAAATCGGCCCGTGAAGGGCCCAAAACGTTGGTTCGAAAATATGTCGTCGACCATCGTCGCTTTCTAGGTGATGGAGGTCAAATGCGCGCTCATTTAGTTATAAAATAAAATACGCTGTTTAGATCCGGAAACAAAATCATTTCATTTCCTATGTGTAATAATCACGAATACCTAAGAACTCGACACTTAAGATTAAAATTCAGATCTGTGCCCCTTCGCAAAAACGATCCAAAGTGTCAAGGTTGATGCTCTTGACTGTACTAAAGAACTGAATATATATGTATATATAGTATATATATATATATATATAAATTCATAAAATACATTTTTGATTCCGGATTCCAATTTCCGATTGACCACGCACTGTCATTTTTTTAAATTGAATTTTCAATACGAACACGAACATAAAGAGGTCGATTACCTACTAACGTTCGAATTTTTTTTTCTATAGAAATTGATATATTTTGCAGATTTGACCATATTGAAACAACAATAGTGGAGAATCAAACTAGTGCACTAACAAACCTGAGCTCGAAGATCGAGACGGAGATGTCGCAGGTGTGGCGGCAGATTGGTATCATGTATCAGCAACTCACAGCCAGCAAGATGTCCCTTGACAAACTTACTGTGAGTATTACAGCTCTATTCTACTACACTAGAAATATATGCAAAAAAATTACCATACCGACTGAGGTACAAAATGTAACAAAAATGTATGTAAAACTGACTAAGGTACAAAATGTAACAAAAAGGTATACGACCATAGGTACCGACTAAGGTACAACATATAAGTAACAAAGGGGTATGGTATGAACGACCATACCGACGAAGAAGTCGGTGATCGTATAACGATGAGGTTATAAATTATTTTACTTATTTTGTCTACTTACTTGTTTGTATGTTTATACAGCAAAAAACTAAGGAAACAAAACAATTTAAAAAATTAGCCAAGGCCAGTCGTAGGTACTTGCGCAATTAATGTTCCGTATCATGCATATATCCTGTGTTTAAATGTATTATTTCTCTATTACCTCCCATAGGTACAACAAAAGAGTAGCATACCAAACCCTATTGAGTGGGATATCGTTACAAAATCTTTTAAATCCGCTCGCATAATCGCTGTCAAAATAGCTTTTATGACGCCCCTCTGCGTGGCTTAGCATGAGCCCGAAGACAAAAGTTATCTCTTCTTCTAAATGTCAATTTTCTCTCGAAGACAAAGTTAGCTCTTCTTGGGACTATCATCGAAGAAGAGGTAACTTTTGTCTTCGGGCTCATGCTAAGCCTGCTGGACTAAAATGCCCCATACGTATGTGTCAAAATTCTTTGCTAAAAACATGTTGTGTCTTAAATTTCTAATTCAAAAAATTACCGTTGGACGTAACCTGTGGTTGAGTGTGTGTACCTATGAAATTGCGCGTGCATATAGTGCACCATGTGAAATACGGCAATGTCATAGGTAAGGGTCTAGCCTATAGTTACCTACTTGCCTAATCTAGAAAGTTATCAAAGCAATGATAATCAAGCTTAGAGTTTAAGATTGCAAACACGATAAATTCTTTTTTTTACATCAAATGGCTACGAGTTCTCTAAAACAAACAATTTAAGCTCTATTACCAACGGCTATTACGCTAAATGGCATATTATCCACAGGAACAAACGGAGCAATACGTTAATGGAAGTGCGACTACCATGAGCAACATGAAAGACAAGGTAAAACCCACTCCAATACAACTAAACTACCTTTAGAACAGAGGTTCCCAAACTTTTTAGTCTCGTGGATGTCTCGTGCCAATTTTTTTAGTTTTGCGTAGACACCTTGCCTTTCTAATATGGATTTTTTAAATTCATCTACTTCAAATGTGTTATCGACAACGACACAGTGATATACTCACTTCGATAAACACGTTTGAAACTTTTCTAAAAAAACACAAACTCATAGAAAAGTTTATTTCCCAAATTTGTCCCACCGGGAATCGAACCCATCGTCTATTATACGTTCACAGATCGCGTATTCTCTCCTTATTGTGTTGTAAGCGTAGTAGCCACGGCAATTGTGGTTACGTGTGTACTGTTTGTGTTGTTAAAGCGAATAGGTTCGATTATTCCATCTAAGAATGGTCGCCGATATTCAACATATGTATGTATGTCACTGCACTTATTACAGAAAACTTTCAACCCCCAGTTAATTTAACTAATTGAACAACATTGCTCGGTGACAGGTTGGGTTAATTACCACACGTATGGCGGAGGTGGATGACAATTTGAACTATTTACTGGGACAACTGTCGGTGGTGACACAGGAGTTCAACCAAATCAAGATCGGGCTGGGAGATGCCCTGGATAAGATTAAAACGAGTTTTCATTTTGTACAGGCTAAACTAGAAGGTAATTATGGACTATGAGTGCATATCTTGGTGGCACCATGATCGAAAATTTATTGACGATCTCACAAGGAACAAGAGGAAGCAGAGACCTCTCCCACACATTTTTCATATTAACATAAAATTATTTTCCTACGTAACTGTATCGTAGTCTTAGAGTGAATACCGCGTATGTAATTTTTCAGGACGAAGATAAAAATGTGGTGTAAAATGTAGTA